AGTTGATTTCAGCTACTGGACTGAAATGGGTTGCTACTGCTGACCAACACGTAACATGAGAGGTCAGGAGAGAACAGTATTTTTAGACTTTTTACACAGCAGTATGTACTATACAGTCTATCTTAGTACAGAGTGTGTTTATGACTTGCTGTTACATGTTATAAAATGCTCGGTTTTTGATTATGTTTTTGTGTATCTTACTCCAGCAAAGTGAGATCAGACGAGGTTCCCAAACTCCTCCACACTTTCTCCATATCAGCAGGCTGCAGACCACAGCAGCTGAGACTAACAGAGGCAATAGCATCATAATTACCACCAGTAATACCAATATTTAGTAACATAAATGTATAAAATAAAGTTTCCCTCTGTTCAAAAATGTGCTTTGTTTATTGTTTGTACTTAATACATACCAGAGCATTTTAGATATTTTATCTGCAGGTTTTTCTCTCCCTCCAGAGAACACTATAGAGACCTGGATAGGACTCTGTAGTCTGAAACGTGAAGAAAATACAGATACAGTTTGGAAGTCAACCCTGGTCCACCATGCAACTTATACAAGATATACAAGCCAGTGCACATACAGTGAGAATGGACGCGCGAAACCTTTTCCCATCCAACTGACATGTGACCCAGTCAGGAACGTGGCTAAGAGGCCCTTCATTTGTCCATATATCTGAAAATATCAAAAAATAAAAAGATCACGAACCATAAATGAGTTTGATCCATCCAGTTCGAATATTACTTGATCCCTCCTTCCTCACCTCGGATGTGATACCGACGAGTGAGATTCACTGCTTCTTAACAGAAACATCCCACTCCCACCCGCTCAGCCCGAGGACTGAACACGTCTCAGACATGGCTTCGTCAACACTCACGCGCCACACATTTCCCGCAACTATCAATAATCAGTGACACCCCCCCACCCGGTAGTTGCTTCTTTTTCACACTCAACAAGTAACTACAACTTAGTCACCATAGATTAACCATTGAGTTCTGTGAAGCGAGTGCTTATCGTGTACAGATACTGACTATGTAAACTATAAGCAATCCAAACAGTAGTCCAGATTGCAATTAACCCTTTCAGGCTTTTCAACAAATAGCACACCCCAGCAACTCCGCAAATCCAGCAGGAGCTGAGAGGGTTGTCGTGACTGTGCTTCCTCTTTCAGTTATATAGCATTTGAAGCCCCCAATCATTCGCCTCATGTGTCAAGTATTCATATCGGGGTCGAGAGCAACTAGAAATGAAGAACCTAGCACTACAGCGAAAATTATCTGTTATCATTGGATGTCAACAACAACAAAAAAACAGCACTATTTTGGACATATCTGATAGAAATAACTAAAAATGTATTATAAATGTACCTTGTGCCAATTAAGGCATTGAGCTTTACACATTGCCTGTGGTGCTCCGTTGCCATACTGTTTATCTAAAGTAGTCAACCTGGCTCAGAGTTGGCAACCTGTTCTATAAATGGCCTTTGGAAACACCTTGCTTGGGCCTGCATCGCTGCCTGACATACTGCGGCAAAAATCTGTAAGAAAAGACAAAAGTGCATTGTTTTGGGTATTGTTTAGTAAACGCTACAGTGAACAATCACAGCGAACAGCCTGATATGGTGACTCGCTGTGAACTTGCCATGATCTGTCGTGGGTAGCAGCCACTGGGTGGAACCTGGTTTGGTCTACCCATACAGGATCCCCAGCCTGAGACTGTGCTACTTTCTTGCTTTATTGCCGCCATCCTTATCCTCCACTCCCTCTCTTCTCCCGTCTCTCCCTCGTACATTGTCTTCCTTCTTTCACCTGCACCTTCACTTAACTCTGCTCTCCTCTAGCCACCACCTGCACCTAACGCCCTGCCTGTCTGCTTCTGCTCACACTATCTAAATATTGCATCAGGCAAGCACACGAAAAACATTGTAGAAAGGGATAAAGCCACCGATTGAGGGGGCTAATCTGAGCGAAAAAAACACTGCTTTCTCCAACAGCGCGCTTTGAATGCATATCATCTGCGGGGGGCAAGTACTCAGCAGTCATATACTAGTACGTATGGATATATACTAATTAGTGCTAAATGGGTCCTTTTTCCTTGAAACACTGTTTACTTTAGATGTGAACTTAACCCTGGTTATCTTCATCCATGCAGCGGCTTCCTTTTTTCTAGAAAATATTTTAACAAACTCATCTGAAAATGAACAATGAAAATAATAGCGTGAATGATCGAAACGAGCTTTAGAGCAGGGTCACACAAACATTTTCCGGCCTTCGTGGCCTTTGGCGCTGTGTGTAGCCTAATTCATTAAAACTAAACTGTTCCATGTAAAGTGCAACACACTACGTGTTACCTTTCAAATCCATTCATCTATGGACTACCAATCTATACTGGCCTACCAAGCAACACACGCAGTAACTACGCATCTTTGTCCAAAATTCGAGTGTCATACCACTGAAATGAGCGACAACCTGTTTATAGCCCTGTTTATTATATTGTGGACCATTGTTTCCAAAGTTTACGCTGCTCCATCTGTAGAGACAAACGTGCATGTAAAATTGAGTCAAACCTCAACAAGAAATCCAAACCCTACAAACTAAACTTTAACCATTTCTCTCCAGTTTACACTGTTATGCGTAGTACTGCAGTATGCTTGAGGGCAGTATAGACATTCTCCAATTGTATTATTATTAGTGGATCACTTACCCGTTTTAATGTTTCAGATGTTTGATATCTCAGGGACTTGAGCGAGAGACTGACAAGCTGAACGTTGATCCAATTAAAAGCTGACCCCACGCGTGACGTTTTTTGGTGGAGCTGTTAGTTTAATAGTCGTCGCACCTGGAAGAAAGCGACCACTTTTGACAATAGCTAGCAATCAACACAACAGGTATTGGAGTTAAAACTGACAGCCCCAATATACCTCTGAATACGTTCCCTACCTTGTTTTAAATTGCAATGTAAGAGGCAGCCCAACGGGCTTGCATTATGTTTGGCAGGATCATTTAAACAGGCAACCGTGACTACATTGTGCGTCTGCCCCATTTCTGATACCTGTGGCGCAGAGAATTTAACAGCAGCGGCTGCCGCTCCAAAATCTAACATAAGTAACGACACTGTACCAGAGTATCTGACAGGCCAGCTGGGCACCCACTAACAGCTGAAGAATGGACAAGAAAGAAGACATCTTGTGCCAGCACGGAAAGACTTCTGCAGAAATGAGGACAACATGTGCAGATTAGGATAGGGTTATTAATTAGGGTATGGTCTTAAATGGGTAATTTTATACTTTAAGGAAATCACACCACCACATTAGTTGTTCTTAACTGTTGTAAATCTATGTCTGGGAGTTTTTTAAGTTACCGTACATATGTTGCTTATTATTACAAACAACACCAAACAACTTGCGGAGCA